TACCACTCCATCCCTCAAACATTGGTGAGCAGCCACTAGGCATACCTCTAGCAAGCCTGGTTTTATCCCTTCCCCGTTCAATCTAGTTTAAAGCTCTTTCAGTGAGCCCTGCAGCCTTGTGCAAAGATCCTTTTCTCCCTTTGAGACAAGTGTACCCCATCTGTTGCCAGCAGGCCTGTTGTTGTGTAGACCGACATGTGATCGAAAACTCCAAAATTTTATGGTGACACCAGTCATGGAGCCAGGTATTGATCTGCTGGTGGTTCTCGTTTCTTCTCTCATCATTTCCTGCAACTGGAAGGATGAAGAACACTATTAATGCTCCTGTTGTAACCAGTTGTCCCAAGGAACAAGGCTCTTTTGATCACCCTTGGCCTTCATATTGCAACCTCATCGCTGCCTACATGAGAAAGCAATAATGGATAATAATCCAAGGACTTTACCAGGACTGAAAGTTTCCTTATCACTTCTCTAATCCAGGCCCCAGGGAAGCAAGAGACTTCCCTAAGAAGTGGGCCTGGTCAGCAAATTAGACCTTCTGTTCCCCTCAGAAAAGGATCTCCCATGACAGTAACTCAACTTTTTTCTTCCTGGAAATGATTTTAAAGCAGTGCACAGGGTAACTTTACCTTGGTGTCTCTTCCAGTGCAGATGAACCATCATCCTCATCACTGCTGGGGTCCATTTGCAGAGCCTCATACCTATTACACAAGTGCACTGGGGAAGGTGAGGCAGTCACAGAGATTTGCCTGCTGTGCCAGGCAGGAACTTGTTCCCATTTCCCCAAATGTGAACAATTTCATAATTACTTAGTGAATCATTTTTAGAAGAGTGTTAAGCATTTCAAACCAACCTGAATACTCCACATTAAGCTGATTACTACTTACAGAAAACCACTGCGCTGTGACAGTATCAAGCTCCTAAATCTAATCCATAAAGAAACATGGACAGCACACACATGGAAGATAAGTTCAGTGTACATTTTTACTCACTGTAACTATTTTATAATTGGAGATAATTATAAAATAAATTGAACCATCCTTCATTCTCTTTCAGTGATAAATGCATTAAATTTATAAAAGTTGCCCATTTTTGGCTTCACATACCAGATTAGTACACCTAGTGTTTTAAAAGCATCTTCTGAGTGAACTCTTTGAATATTCCAAACAGCAGTACTTTCAGAGTTCTCCCACACATGGAAATACAGATGTAGCTAAGATCCATTTCAATCTATTTGCTTTTCATAAATTCACTTCTCCCTTCTATATGCAAATTTTCCTTCAAAAGTTATGGCATAACCTAAGTATAATCTATTTCTTCTTACAAAATTAATTATACCTTTGGGCAAGATAGTAAAGAAAATCCTTCTAAAATATACTGCTGCACAAAAATAGATCAACTTGGGTTTCTAACTAAGCTTCCTAAAGATTTAGCAGAGAAAGGTTGAGTCTTCAGTAGGCTACAACTTAAAACTGCAGAGAACATTGCTAATATGTGTTTTCATTTTTCCTGCTTACTCTAAGAAAACACATATTTGCATTTCTTCCTAGAGGCCTGTTCTCACTGATGTTCTACAATGTTTTAATAATTCAAAATACACTGACTTCTCTTCATACCCCCACACATCATCACTGGTTATCAATGAAATGAAAAAACTAATAAAAACATAAAATGCTAAACAAATGCTTTAGCAGCCACAAGAATGCCAACATTTGTTTAGAATCATAGAATCAACAGGGTTGGAAAAGACCTCCAAGATCATCAAGTCCAACCTTACTGTAAGTTAATATGTAACACCAAATAAAAGACAGTGATACCTGAACTCTAGATCAGTCTACAGATAATGACTCAAACTGTGGTGCTCTCCAACAGAGACATAATACACTTTCATTTGGATGATACATTTATTAAATTAGAATTAAAAAGTTAATGTAGAGTGCAAGAAACATATTTGGACACTGGACCTCGATACAGAGCAACAATGTCTTCAGAATAATTACAGCAAAAAACATCCTCTGTACTGTATTACGTATCAACCAAACAGGCAGTAACATTTGTAAAGGGAAAAAAAAACATTCAGTACCATCAGCAGATGCAAAGAGCAGTAGAGAAGTTGCAAGGATCTAGCTAGACAAAAAATGTTCCTACCTTCAGCAAGTTGAGGCTCTTGGCAGGACTCAAACTAGTACTAAGAGAACTAACTTCTAGCAGATGCCTGTCTTATATAGCTGGCTTTGGCTCCAAGCTGCTTGAAGCTGTCGAGCAGAGGAGCAGCATCAAACACAGTATTACCCCACTAGCATTTTGTCAAAAGCTACAATCATGAGTGACAGTTTATTTGTTTTAAATAAAGAAACAGACTTTCAGTTCCAATGCCTTAATTTCACAGACCCTTAGATAACTAAACAGTCCCTGCCTTTTTTCATCTCTCTCGAATTCAAACCTGACACTGAACAGCTTGACTGAAAGGATATGTATGCTGAAAAGCTGAGCAGGCTTATGATTTTGTTCTTTTTAATATGAAAAAGTAGCACATCTTGACCTAAGAGTTTCAGTTCTAATGCTGAATTAAATAAAGACTAAAAATCCACAGAACAGTATTTAAGTATAGTGTAACACACTGAAATCCATCTACTGGCCATACTGCTCCTACATAACCCATTTTCAACTCTACCCTGTTTTGCATAACATTTATCTAGAACTCTACCCTGTTTTGCATAACATTTACCTAGGAAAAAAACCACACACAGAAAAAATAAATCTAAGAACAGGAGCCTCCCTCAGAGGCATGGAGCTCAGTTTATGAACAATCCTGGTCAGCCTAACATTCACACTTACCCCTCCCATGGTTAGGACTGAAAGGTGTTTACTCTGTGCTTGAAATGGAGCTGTAATAGAATGCAGTACAATTTACCAGCCAGTAAGTTGAACCATGACCACTTGCTTTTATGAAAAGCTGTATTATGAATCCCACTGTTTTAATATAAAAATTTAAATATATACATTTTTTTCCCTGAATTGTTCCATCCCTAGCAATTCATGTGTAAAAGTTACAGCCAGGGACTCTTCCCGGAGATATCCAAGCATTAAATCCTTACCAACATCTACCCTTTGGGTCATGATGTCCCAAAACACTGTGCTATAAAGACTGAATGCCTCTACACCTATTCAATCACAAAATTTACCATGATTGTAGAGAAGGGGCAAGACTAGTTTCTTGAAGAACACCCATCCTAACTTTAGAAAACAAAAGTGTGGTGACTCTACAACTACAGCACATACAAACTATAGCCTTGAATCTTACTATTAAAAGCCAATTGGAGGATGTCTAAAAGACACTTATGCTTTCAATGGCAAATTTAAGATGTTAAGGGATTCATAACAAAACTTAAAACCATGCATTATGAAGAGAAAGCTTGAGAAGGTCAGAAACCGGGATGATTTTTGGTGCTGTATTTTAAAAGTCTCAGCATTATTTTCAATGATAAAAAAATAAATACTCAAGCTCTACTGCCAGTACTACCTAAAGGCTTCTTGAACGTAGACTGAGGGGATGGGAATAAAATCAGCTTTTCATCAGATAAAGAAAATAATTTAAGCATGGGACATGAAATAAAGTATGAGGGAAGAGAGAATATGGGTCGTTATTCCCTATTCCAAACCTGATTATAATGTTCTCACAAATCACTGAAGAACCTAGATTTCAAGTGTACATTCATTTCAACTCTTGAAAATATAAAGGTCTATGGCTATTGTAGAAAGTATTTGAAATCAAACATTAAAAACAGCAACATTGCACATCACTGGAAAAATAAACTGGTGAATACTATTTAAAGTGCATTACTTTACAAAACAGACACCGCAGAAGTTTATCCAACAGGTGTAATTGGTGCATCCTGTAAGATTCTGCAGCTCCAAAATCAACTCTTCTTTGAAAAAATAACACTAACAATAAATACAACCAACCTCCAACCTCCTCTGAGGATCAGACTGTAACTCAGATATGTTAAATTGTCTCTCACAAAGAATTTTATTTCCATCTGCATCAAATAATAGTAAATTGACTACTGCAACTGTAGTCTAACAAGTCACTGAGCAATGCATAATGCCATTCAAAGATTCTGAAGCTACTTTTAGTGCTTATTTCATATTACAGGAAAAAATACAATAGCTTTCCCACTCATGTAAAACAATAATTTTGCTGAAATATAGGTGTAAAGAAAGAAGCCTTATAACCAGATCATAGGTTTCTGCTTTTTTTCCATGTAAGACAACATCTTAAATAATTCTTTACGGCTTCAGTCATTTTCCAAGTATAAAAACCTTTCCTTCTGCACTTATCCTTTGAAACAGCCATGGGAACGCAGAAGTAGTAGATAGAGTGCAATTAACTGTGGGAGTATATTAGGGCTTAGTCCTGTTCTCTGCTACAGCAATGTACACTGTACAAGTTCAAAGTTACCTATTAAGATTTTACAGATACATAACAATACTATGTGAGAGGACAAAGCCCCAAAATGCACACCAGAATATATATTGCTTTGGTGCCCAATGACTAGATTGAATAGAAGATGCTCATTACAAATACCAACAACACAACCTAAGATATTTAGCTTATTAAATTAAAAACCTTCAATCAGAAAGGGGTGAATGTATCACAGCAATAATTAAACACCACAGGACAAGAAATGGTCTTTTAATTTCTGGCAAAAATAGGCTGCTTGCTGAAACCTAAATACTTTCAACAAATCAGTTGTGTTTAAAGAGCAAACCTTCTATGGAAAGAATTTTTTTCCCCCAATCTAACAAACACTAGTAAATCCTGTACTGCATAGAGTTACTTTGTAAGAGCAAGTTTATGAAAAGGGGGAGAGAAAGAAACAAAGCAGCATTACTCCCCACCCCATCAGAACACAGCCACACAGGGCACAGCTGATAGTAAAGATGCTTCACTGCCATATTGTAGGACATAAGCTAAACTGAGTATGTACAGACTGAGAAAGAAAGTGAGAAAGATCCAAATGTCCAAGGAGAAAAGGGGTATAATCTTTCACACAGGATGCACTAACAGAAAGCTGTTGGGAAATTCTTCCTCTAGCTAAATCCCTGGCTTGGCAAGTAAAAATAAGTGGCATCGAGGACGGGGACTATGCAGGAAGTGGGCATCTATGATTCTTCAGCCATCTGAAGTAAGGAGTTGATAGCTGCATCCTTGTTCCCCCTCTGAGCTTCTAGCACTGAGCGGATTACTTCCCTGTCCATGTTGGGAAACATGTCCTGGATAGATTTCAGGTCTTCTTCATTACACAGGTGCTGAGGGTTAACCGGAGGAGGTGGTATTGCCACTGGGACCATGCCTGGATTACAGACTGCAGGCATCCCTGCAGGTTAAAAACAGGAGAAAAAAAACAAACAAAACAAAACAAAACACAAAACATACATGAGTGGTGGAAAAAATAAATCAGTGATTTTGGAGAAAGCAGCTCATGACTCATCCCAACCCACCAACTTCAGCATGAATTTATTTTAACTTGCACTTCAGAGGGGGAAAAAAAAAGAAAAAGATTGCAGAGATTACACCTAGACTGTTGCAACTGGAAAACATTTGTCTGGAACAAGTTCTCTCCTCAAAGTTATATTCCAGAAATGGTAAAGTACAGTACAGCAACAGGTACCGTTAAAGATTTGGTACAACTTGCATTAACCAGATTTACAGGTGAATCACTAACCAAACACCAAGCTCATCAAAGAAAGGAGTGGTTGGTGTCCCTCCTGTCGTATTTTAGTTCCCAGTCTATTTATGTTGTGATGAAAAATATTAGTTTACATCAGCAATATATGCAGCTGATATTTAGAAAGCCAACAAATGCAATCTCCACTGCATTCAACGGAAAGCAAAGTACTTTAGCCCACTGGGAGACTGGACCACATAAATAAGCAATTTCTAGCAAATGTTTTTCCCTGGCTAAAGTTCCATCCAGTTCAAGCTCCAAAGTCACTAAGTGTCAAAAGAGCAATGCCTACAGGGGTACACACTGCTTCTCCCTGTCTCTCTGCCAGAGGACAGAATTCATCTGACCTGACATTTTTCATTAATTTCTTGTATGTCTGTGCAAAATTAAAGCACAGTCAGATTTATAAAGAATTTTAGAAAATGAGCTTTCCAGTTCTTGTCAAAAGGAATTACTAGACAAAAGCCTCTTTTCATCATGTAACAACTTTTATCTTTCAGCACAGCTCCACTGCTGAAAATACTACCTTTTGTTTTTATAAAACTGAAACTAGATATAGTATACATCTAGAGTCTTTTGCTATCACTTCTGAAAACGATGTACTTAACTTCTCTGTCCCTGATTATCTTAGTCCCACTCCTTCATGTGTTAGCTTCTGCAGTTCTCCTGTAGTGTTTCTAAGGTAGGGCAAGGAGAACTACCTGCACCTAGACACAAACATGGCACTGTTAAATACAGCACCATGATAGTTTCAGTATTTGTCCTCTGTTTGCTTTCAGGCATTTTAGGCACTGTTTCAAAGGCTATTCACCTGGTATCTTTATAGAGCACTCTTCAGTAATTCAAAGACCTTCAGGTGCAATAATGACCAATCAAGAAATCATCACCAAATAAGTATCAGTTAACACCAGCCTTAAAATACAATTTTATTTCCCATTTACTATAATGAGATCCTTCTGCATCCTGCTGCAGACTCAGAAAACTGCCAAGAGTGTTTGTTTTCACACTGTCTGTTAGTGCCCTTCCCTCAAAGTTTCTCAAGAAAGACGATGCATCCCATCAAAGGTCTCCTTCCATTGGAAGATGATTAATCACTTATTCTTATCTGCGATTTTTATGGCCCTTTCAAATTAGGTATTAAACCACAAAATGACATTTATTGTATTAGCATATAATCAGATAGAAAGAATGCTTAGTAAATAATGTTTTCCAAATGCAGATGACGAGGTGATATGCACAGCCCATGACATTCTTTCTTACATACTCATGTACCTATAAATGTTAAGGTATGAGCTTTCCCTGCACAACCATGTCACCTCCTCCTAAAGTTTACCTAGTTACACTTGGTTTAAATCAGTTAGTTTTAGTCTTCATAGGCTGGAATAATTTAATGCAACAAACAGTTACTTCAGAACTGTTTTTAACATAAATTTCACTTTGCTATCCTCCAGCAAGCCTAATTAAGCAATAGGTTACATACTGCATTGAGTATAAAAAAAAAATGACATAGTGAATAAACATTATCTCACTTGCACTTTCTTACTCATCTTAACAGTTAAACTCCAAAATTATAATATAAGGCTGCTTAAGTATTCCTTCCTAAGGAGGGCAAAGCCAAACACTCTCTTCCTCCCCTTGTTATCATCTCATGGTCCAATGGGGGGATTTTTGTACTACCTTACATATTTATATCTTTACAGGCATTTAATAACAAAAGATTCCAGGTTCTGTTTCTTTAAAATAAACAGTTCTCAACTTTTTATGCATTTGATATTCAAAAAGTTGCGTTACTCAACTTTATAACCAGTTTAGACTTAATATATAATTTAACACTTTTACGTTACCTCATTTGGGCAGACCTAGCATTTTGGACAGAAACCTACTTCAATTTCACTTCAGACTTCTTAGGATTCTCCAACACTGTTTTTTGGGTTTTTTGCTTTGCTTCTTTTTTTAATTTGGCATACATTTTCTTAGAGCAGCTAGCAACTTATTACAGTTTTCACTTCACCTGTTTATCTTTCTATGACCTATTTCTAAGTTAAACAAAGCATGAACTATTTGCATCACCACTATTACACATCTCCAAAATAAGAGTCTTTTTGAACAGTTTCAATATATAGTACTCACAAATAGATCAGAAGCTGCTTCTCTTCTGTTGAATTCTGACTAACTGTGCAAAACTCATAACGAACCAAGATCATTTTCCAGAGTGCCTCTCTGCAGCCTCATCTAAAGCACTTATGTGATCAAACATATTGCAACTATATTATACTACTTCTATTCAGATTTAACATCTGAAAAAGGAGGAAAGAGTTATTTCAATACTTACCTTGCCTCTTCAAGATTTTCTTTAGCCTGTAACTATTTCATCAGAAACATCTACACATTTGAACTTGTACACATGTTTTAGTATCTTGGTGACTTTTTCTTCTATCAGCATAAAAAATGCTACATAACTCACATTCAAGGCTGGATGAGCTAAAGATCATCAACTCTGGCTACAAGGTACTGTAATAGAATATAGTTTGACTGTGTGCATTGGATCCATGATTCTACTTAAGTACTCTTTTCCTTTTCTTTCCTCAACTTGGAATTCTGTCCTGTCAGAAGAGATGCATTACTCACTTGTAAGCATCTCCATATTTATCAATGTTATTCAATCAATTTTAAAATTCCCCTTTTAATCATCTTAAGTTTTATTAGAAGCCAAAAAAAGGAACCTAGAAGCTTTAAGTCTTATGCACAGGCTGCATCTATTCAAAAAGGTTTTCCTTTTCTTTCCTCAACTTGGAATTCTGTCCTGTCAGAAGAGATGCATTACTCACTTGTAAGCATCTCCATATTTATCAATGTTATTCAATCAATTTTAAAATTCCCCTTTTAATCATCTTAAGTTTTATTAGAAGCCAAAAAAAGGAACCTAGAAGCTTTAAGTCTTATGCACAGGCTGCATCTATTCAAAAAGGTTTGACAACGCATTACTCACTTGTAAGCATCTCCATATTTATCAATGTTATTCAATCAATTTTAAAATTCCCCTTTTAATCATCTTAAGTTTTATTAGAAGCCAAAAAAAGGAACCTAGAAGCTTTAAGTCTTATGCACAGGCTGCATCTATTCAAAAAGGCTTGTGCTGACAGCTCAGTCATAATCTCATAGAATCACAGAATCATCAAGGTTGGAGGAGACCTCTAAGATCACCACATCCAGCCATTAACCTTCCACACTACTGTAAACCTTAAACCATATCCTCCAGGGTCACATCCAGATGCCTTTTAAACACTTCCAGGGATGGTGACTCCACCACCTCCCTGGGACATCTATTCCAGTGCCTCACCACCCTAATCCCATGACTTCATTACCTGCACACTGGCACCATGTCTCTGCCCAATCATCTGCATCACACCTCTTCCAAGGATATCTGTCACCTTGTACACAACACCCTAAGCTTCAGCTCTGCAGCTTTTTATGTCATTTGGACCATGGCCCTGGAATTCTGTCTGGCACTATGCGTTTGAACATATGGCAAATCAGGCCATGTGTGCACCCTGGAGGCAAACCACTGTGCAGTCCTCATCAACACTGCAAATACGCTTTACCCAATAATCACATCCAGCAGCTTTTCAGACTGCATCTTCTTTAGCTCCAACAAGCCTCAACTCATTCCCCACACTTCCTACAAACAATCTAGGCATCTACGACATCATAAAATAAAGCTGCAAAGTATCTGAAAGAACAGAGCAATAGAAGTTGTTTTACTTCTAACACAAACTTCCAAATACTTTTCAGTAAATCATCAGCACCCTAAGATTATCCAAACAATCAGCCTAATCTGGGTAGGAGCTGTCCATGCAGGAGGTCAGTTTAAAATATTAATCCAAATGAAACATGAGGCTCACTTTTCACCTACCACAGCATCCTACTGCTTACTGATAATGTTTCAGTGTCTTATCAGTTTAAAAACAAAATTAAAAAAAAAAATCACTACTAGAACACAGTTCTCCTCACTGCTCTCATCAAAACAAGGTAATTCTGAAGCCAGACATCTGCACACGCAGTATTCAAAAAGTATTTTCAACATAAACAGTCAATTTTAGGCACAGGAAATTGCCTGACTGTATTGTTTCTCACTAATGATTTTCAAAATCCATTTTCTCAGCTCTCACAGATTTAGAATTAGCTTAAGCTGTCTACAACTACACTGTATGCAAAGATTAGTTAGTACCACAGTGATTTTTAATAAATACCTCCATGATAAATGCTTACTTTTTAGGAAACTCAACATTCAAGCTACACAAATACCAATTTAAGAGTACTTTGGGGTCTTTTTTTTTTTTTTGTTGTGCTGCACTCAAGCTAAAAGCCTCCATAATTTCTGATTTACAAAACAGTAAAACTTAATTATAAACTTGAAGAACTATGCACTGAAATTTGGCAAATATATATGCAGTCATTAGAGAAAATTATAATAAACTTCCAAATTATCAATGTTCAGTAAAGAGCTGCTTTACATATTAAAAAGCTCATATCACTAACAAGAGAAAACCGGAACCATACAACGTAAGAATCCACTACCCATGGAACTGCAGATCCCGTGTTGCTCTCAGATGTTAGGTTAAGTGTTATAAATCAGAAGAATGGAGCAC